GACCTCGTGTCAACACAGGGAACATGAAGAGAAGGGGAATTTATGATGAATTAGTTTAGTCTGAATTTATATAGCAAGTGAATAACGACAACGAAACTGGGAATTATAGCCCAAGTGTTAACTGAAGGGTTCCTAAATAGAAGAGACATACTGCAAAGGAAAAGCAAATATTGAAATGGAACAAAGTACCAACCTATCTCAGTGAGCCAAGGATGGAGGGGGCAGACGTCAGTATATCCTCCAGGTCTCAAATCGAAGTGAAGGATGTGGAAGTGAAAATATTCTGTGAGTCTCATTTATCGAGGTATGATACAGAGGCAATGGGGGACTAAAGTGTCCAGAAGTGAGGAAAGGGCTGAAACTTGTCCTCACATATTCTTAAAGGAAAAGTGATACTGAATGTCAGTAAAGGAAAGGTAATCACCAGTTAAATTGAAAAGAAGATGAGCCTTGATACACTTTTCACACTAGTTAAATTGAAAAGAAAATTATACAGGACATGACAGAGAAATATAATAAGAAATAGAAACATCCAGAATGAATGGCAGAACTCAGGTAGGAATTAGAAATAAAAACATCATTTTAGGAATGAAGATGCGACAAGAAGGAGACTAGGAGTAAATAAAAGTGTCAGATAATGCCTTAAGAGAAAATGATTGAAAATTAAATTAAAAATGTGAAAAAAAATAAAAAGATTTTGAGGGAAGGTGACTAATATTAAGAAAAAGAAGATCTAACACAAAGACAATAGTAGTTACTGAGGAAAGAAACCAAAGGAATAGAGCAAGAACAAAAATGATAAAGATATTATTGAAAAAAACGGAAACTGTCTATTGAAAGAGCACGCTCTATACCTAAGAATGACCAACACCAGCATGTGGTCTAGTAAAATTTCTTGAGGTTAAAGGGAAAAAAATTGGGAGGTATCTATGCAAAAAGACGATGTGACCTATAAGGAAAAGAAAATTAGACTCTCACAAGATATTTTTCAGCAATGCTTTAGGTCATAAGAAAATGGAGCACCACACTTCAGGCTCTCAAGAAAAGTAAGTCAGGGATTATTATATCTAACAAAACTGATTTCCAAACATAAAAGGCACAGATGTTTCCAACACTCAAGAACATTCAAAATTATGTTTTCCAGGAGTTCTTCCTGAGAACTATTAAAGAACTAGCATTAGCCAACTAAAATGACTAAGCGGTCTCAGTATAAGAGCCGATGGTGAGGATTAAATATGTACTGCTTATGGAACAAGACCAAAGGAGGATTAGGAGGAAGAAAGTATAGTTTGTCACAGCTGAACGTGCTCGCGATATAGGTAGAGAACAGAGTAAATGGGAGAGTAGTAGTAGGAAAATGTTGAATTCTTCAGCAATCACATTGGGGACGGTAGTATTTAAATTGTGTGTACAACATAGGATAAGTGAAATGAATAATTTTGGAATATTTTGCTCCCCTACTCTCCTCTATACTTGTGAACCAGGATCCTGGATGTGGAAGTAAGGAGATGCAGATGTGATACAGAAAAAGTTAAGTAAGATCACCTATATTGGAATTTTTTGAAGTATCAGAATGAACTCACGACTTATTTTATCCTTAAAATATGTATTCTTTAGCTCAGTCCTATGAAAAGGTCCCAAAATGACCAAGACAGTAGCAATGAACATCCTTAGCACTCAGATTGTTTTCTGTAAATATCATTCCTAAAAGGAACTAAAGGAACAAGGGCTTATTCTGGGTCTAGACTAGGAAACACAGACAATGACCCTAGAATAATTTTGTCACACAACACTAGCAACATGTGGAATGAATGCAGGGTAAGGATTGGTGCTCAGAAAACAGAATATATGCAATCACCTAGGCCCTTTTTAATTTCTATAGCAAGGCATATTTGAGCTGGGTACATGGGACAGAGTGGACAATGCATCAGGAAAAGGACCTGGATGACTTCCTCTGCATATTTGTAGGGAAATTCTGAGGGGTTAGAGACCAGCTTTTACATCTGATTATATAAAAATGGGAATTTCCTGGCCAGAAAAATGGCTAATAGGCAAGAGTTTAGTGAGAAGAACTCATCTAGTTGTGTGGATATCTAAGCTAGAGCAGTGCTACTCAAACTTTAATGTGCAAGACTTACTAGACGGATTTTGCTAATATGACAGTTTGACTCAGTAAGTAGGGGCTGGGACCTAAGATTTTACCTAGTAAAACAGAATTAGGATTTCTGAATTCAAAGAAGCCTAGCTAACTTTTTGCTGCTAAGCAACTAAAAAGAGAAAACAAGTTTCCAGTACCATGCTTGTTTGTTTTTCCACCCTTCTGTAAGTAAAACCTAAAAATATGTGGTTGGGTAGGATACCCCTGAGCAGTCTGGAAAAGGGAGGCCTTTTCATGTTAAAAAGTTTAGTCAAATTGCTGATTACAATAATTAGGAAGGTAGACAATTTCCTTACCTAACTTGTAGCCCTAGTGGAAGTTTATAGAAAGAGACAGTGTGTTTGGTTGCTTCTTTTGCTTTCAGCAAGGTATTACAAATAAAGCTCAAAGTCAGGGTGAAAAGCAAAACAGAACATCTGGGAATTCCTGGGCTTCACTAAGTTGAAAAAGCCAGCTGCTTACGTACCCCTAAATAGCAGAAGAGTTTGCCTTAGAGATTTCTCATAGCCCATTAAAAGACTTTTTGGCAAACACAAATGGGCAAAAAAGCAACAGAAAACAAAGATAAACTGAAGCAAAAATCAAATTAATGGAGTTCCCTTCTCACTTAAGCCTGTTGTTTCAGATAACCTCAAGACTGTCATCATTAAAAAGATATTAAGAAAGGTGTTAGCGTGGAAAACAGGAAATAGGTCACATTTAACAACTATTTCTAGAAACTGTGGGGTGTAGTTACCGGAACCTGAAACTGTCTGGAAGCAGTTTACTAAATATTCAATGAAAACAACAACAACACTGAAAAACCTGGCCTACAAAAGCTCTTGATCCAAGTCCAAAAGCTTCCTTTCAAAGAGGGAATATTCTTCAACATCCAGGTAACTTGTATTCTTAGGGCAAAACTGGGGCCGAGAGTATAAGGGGTAATTGAGATCCTCTCAAAGAGCAGAACAAGAGTCTAACCAAAAAACTTACTCCCTACAAGGGTACGGGTATTTCTCGTTCCTTCCCCCCGATTCCACCATTGCTTTGGAGAGGCTGTGTTTCACATTCCACTTTTGTTGAGTTTGAAGTGTGCTTATCCTGCTCCTGTTCCACCCATTTTGTATTACACTCGTAGGCATGAGGCAGATAATTTGTTTACAGTGTGTGTGACCCTGGGCCATGAAAAGACATGTTCCAGTCTGATGGAGAGGGCTGTGCATCATCAGACAGCCTGCTTTTTGAGTTGGCATAGAAACTGAATAGGGAATTGATCGCTTTTTTTTTTTTTTTTTTAAGATTTTACTTATTTGTTTGACAAACACAGTGAGAGAGCGAACACAAGCAGGGGGAAAGGGAGAAGCAGGCTTCCCACGGAGCAGGGAGCCCGACGTGGGGCTCGATCCCAGGATCCTGGGATCCTGACCTGAGCGGAAGGAGACAGCTAACGAGCGAGGCACCCAGGCGCCCCCATCTCTCTTCTGGAGGGGTAGGCGCGTTCCACTGTAAGAAGGGCTCACACAGATACTGAGGTGATCAGAGGGACAGACTGAGTAGATACGGACTGTCCCTTTCAACCCATCCTCTTCTTTTCCTTGGGCAAAGGGTTGCCCGCCTGGAAACCAAATTTCCAGCCTCACGGCTGCTAAGCCTGGTCATGTGACAGGTTCTTGCCAAGGGACTGGTATCAGAACTGGTACCAGAACTGACGCAGGCATCTCCACTTTACTTTCTTCTTTCTTTTTTCACTTGACACAGAGACAGAGATCACAAGCAGGCAGAGAGGCAGGCGGGGTGGGGGGGGGAGAGCAGGCTCCCCGCTGAGCAGAGAGCCCAACGAGGGACTCTCCCAGGACCCCGGGATCACGACGCGAGCCGCAGGCAGAGGCTCAGCCACCGACCCCCCGGCGCCCCCACGTTACTTTCTTAAGGCATTTCCTTGTGCTCGTCTTGCGGCCGCTCCCTTCCGACAGAGGGAATCTCCATTCACCGCACACCGGGAGGGCAACTCCAAGTCTGAAAGCCGCGGCGGGCAAGGCCAGAAGACAGAGCGTCGCTGAGAGGCCGGTGCATGCAGCACCGGCGACCGATGACCAACATGAAGCGCCCGGCTGGACGCCCGAGCGGCCCGCGGCCGTCCCGCCGCAATACTCCGCAGCGGAAGAGGGCGGCGAGGAAGCGCTGCGGCCGTGCGCAGCCCGGTCTCCCCTCAGCGAACGAGAGCGAGGGGAACGGCGACACGGAGTGTCGTCTTCCGCGAGCGCCAGGGGGGGCGACAGTCTGCACGTACGTGCAGACGGCGTCCCGTGAGGACCCGTGAGGGAGCGGCGCCGTCCGCGCGCCCGCGGGACGCTCGGTGTCCCCGCCACAGCGGCCGCTTCGCGGGGGGAAGGGACTGCCGCGGACAAGCTCGCCCAGACCACGCCCGCGGAGGCCGGTCGCGACAAACCGGCTACACCGCCAGCGCAGAAACGCGCGCATCCGCACCGCGTCTAGACAGCGCCGCCTCGGGGAACCGGACGCGGGAACAGCTCGCCGCGGCAACGCGCGCCGCTCCAGCGCTGCCTCACAGAGCGGGCGGCCGCCGTCCACGCCCGAGCCACACGCGGAACTGGGCGACGACGGGAGGGGGTTCCAGTCCCCGGCGCTTCCTGGAGTCGCACAAGCAACACGCCCTGGACCTCCTCCGCCAATCCCAAGTCCGGGCGCGCGGACCTTAGTCCGCGGGAGGCTCCTGGGCGGGCCTGGGACGCGCACGGAGCTTCCGTCACGCGGCTCTGCGGACGGGCCTGCGCGGGCTCGTACGACCGGCGCTCTGGCCCACACAGTCGCTACTCTATGGCATCTCGGGTTCCCTCTAGCTGCAGGCTGGAGGACTGCAACTCGTTTCTCGGCGGCGGCGCGAGGCCCGGCAGCCTCTGCTGAGCTGGAAGAAAGATGGCGGCAGCCGTGCGGCAGGACTTAGCCCAGCTCATGAATTCGAGCGGCTCTCACAAAGATCTGGCGGGCAAGTGAGTGTCTCCCGGGGACCTGGGCGGTCGGGGGGGAAGCCGTGGGCCGGTTCGCGGGGTGACGGCTGCTTCGGGATGTGGTGCGGCCTGACGATTAAGGGGGCGGGCCTGAGGTCGTCTGCAGACGCCCAGACGGGAGCAGAAAGCCGGTGGGGACCTTACGCCGGGAACCCCGGGGGGCGGCCGACGCGGGGCTGTCGTCAGCTTGTTCTGCTTTGGGGAGCACCCTGACCTGCTCGTAGAGACTCTGGAAGCACGGCCCGAAGGGCGACTGCCCCCGTGGCCTTCTTTGCCGGCCCTGGTGCCTCTGCATCGCTGCGGGCCCTCACACCGAATCTGCTCGCTCTTCGGACTTTTTTTTTTTTTTTTTTTTAAATTGGGGGAAATGTGTCTTCTGGGACCTCGATGTAGAGCTTCCCGGGAGATGGCTTTTCGAGCCCGCGGGGCGGAGGAGGTATGGCCGCTCCCGTCTGGGGCCAGAGCCGCCCGGACCGTCTTCTGCGAGTCCTTGTGTGTGGGCTTCTCTCCGCCGCCGACTCTGGGGAGGGGCGCCTCCGCCGAACGCCCTCGCGACGTGAGTCAGGGAGCCTCGGGTAGGGGCGTTCGCAGGAACCCGAGTTGTGTAGGCATTCTGCGGAGTTTGTGTGGAAGGCTTAGACCCGTTCCACGTTAAAACAGTTGCATGTGCCTGTCACGCAGGCGGTCCCAGTCGTGTTAGCCGAGGTAGTGGGCAGGTGGGTCAGCAACGGTCCGATTCTCCTCGTACGTCATGCGGCACCGTCTGTGGTAGCGAACTCGCGTTCCGGTGAGAGGGCGCGTCCAGTGTGACGGCGCCGACGGTGCGGGTCTGCATGAGCGGATACACCTGCCCTCACCTCGGCCGTGTTCTGTGGAAACTCTGCTGCCTTTCCTCTGGTGGCAGATGTCTGGCTCTCGCAGGGGAAATCTAGCTGTGTCCCGTGGGTTTAGCTGTTGTGCACTGCAGTTTCCTTCTCAGGAAAATGGGGGTAGCAGGACGTACTCTTGTCTGAGGACCAACGAGTGAGTGTGTGTGTCCAGCCAGATCACACGTGTCACTTAGAACAGTACCTGAGGCCCCGTGCCGCGGAACTGTCTTTGTTACTGTTGTTGTTAGAAAGCGGTTAGTCAGTACGTGTATTGACTTATTCCGTGGGTTGTAAATTAGGTGAATGTGTCTTCATGGTTTAACCCTTTATCCGTGTAATGTTTAGATTTGGATGAAAGTAAAATAATCATGTGTTTTTCCCCATGCTCAGCTTACATTTCCCCCATGCTTTGCTCTGTTTTTTGTTTTCTTGAAGAACATGAAGTACATTCTTTATCAGAAGAGATACAGGTTTTCAAGTATCCGTAGAATTCTGAAACTTAAGCTCAGAATTCACGTCCTCAGCTGTGAATTGCAGGTAAACAATAGTACTATGTTATAGGTCCTTTAGTTACGTATTCCTGTGTAACAAACCGAAAACTTAGTGGTGTGAAACAACTACTCCTTTTCAGGGTTCTTTGGGTTGACTGGACTGTTGTGCTGACCTAAGCCAGGCCTCCTTGTGCAGGTGCAGAGCCAGCGGGCAGCTCAGTTGGGGCTGGCGAAGCTAAAACAGACTCACATATGCATCAGGCTGCTGCTGGCGGAGTCGGTCTCTCCGCATGGTCTCACATTCAGTTGTTCCTTACAGGGCCATAGACGTGTTCCAGAAGGGTGAGAGTGGAAGCCGCCACACGCAAGGCTAGCCATGGAAATCTCACAATGTCGGTTCTCTAAAACAGGTCAAAGAAAATCACCAGACCAATCCAGATTCAAGGGGAGGAAAAATGGAGCCTACCTCTTTCTGGGAGAAGTGGCCAAGTTACATTAGAAGGGAAATTCTATAAAATAAAGGAAAGGAAATGCAGAAAGGAAAATTCTATAAAAATAGGACTTTTTTTTTGTATTCCTACTTCTTGATAGAGAAGGTACTGAGAAGAGGATAGCAGGCCTTTGGAGTCTAAAGATTTCATTTTACAAGAAGCGTTAGCATAGAGAAGAGAGGGTAATGGGAGACCTTTTAGCTCTCTTTGACTATTAGGCTGTTTTGCCAGGGTGCCTGGGTGGCACAGTCAGTTAAGTATCTGCCTTGTGCTCAGGTCATGATCGCAGGGTCCTGGGATCAGATACTGCATCCGGCTCTTTGCTCACTGGGAAGCCTGCTTCTCTCTCTCCTGCTCCCTCTGCTTGTGCTCTCTTTTTCTGTCAAATAAATAAATCTTAAAAAACAAAGCTGTTTTGTAGAAAAGGAAATAGACTCCTTTGCCTTACAGAGATAGACTTTTGATTAGAACTTTTTAATAATAGAATGGAATAGAACTGTCAAAAAACAGAAGACACTTACACACCAGGTACACACTATATAATATACACTATGGACTCTCAAGGGCTCCTTATAACACACAGTCTCTGGTTCTTTGTTATTCCCACACACAGCAGTTTTAGTGGTTCCCATCTCAAGAGTGAAGTTCCCTAACGTCTGGTGTTTACCATGTGCCAAGCACATCGTTATTTACATTTTTTAATCCTTGAGTAATATTTACATTGCATGTGAGGAAACGAAAGTACGGAGGTGAAATACCTTGCTTGAGGTCACATAGCTTGTGGCAATGCTGTAATTCAACCTGTATGCTTGGCTCATAGCCCTTGACTCTAAACACATCTACCTTTTGGCCTTAAATTATCTTCCCCGAACTAGACTACATTTCAGATAGTGATTTTTTTTGCAGGGGCCTTAAAATACCTATCTGCCTCCACTCTTTTCCACTTAACACTACATTGAAATAGTTAGAATACTTAAAGATCAACCTCATTTAGGAAATTCTTTTTTTTAGCATTTTAAATTTTAATTAAAATTTGCTGAGACATCAGTTGTTAATCTTACTGAGATTCTCTCATATTATCATTTTCTTTTAAAAATTTTTTCTTATTTAAATTCAATTTAGTTAACATGTAACGTGTTATTAGTTTCAGGGGTACAATTCAGTCATTCATCAATTGCCTCTAACACCCAGTGCTCATTTCATCAAGTACACTCCTTACTCCCCATCACCCAATTACTTCATCCTCCCACCCTCAGTTTGTTTCTTACAGCTAAGAGTCTCTTATCGTTTGCCTCGTCTGTTTTTATCTTATTTTTCCTTCCCTTCCCCTGTGTTCATCTGTTTTGTTTCTGAAATTCCACATATGAGTGAAATCATATGTTATTTGTCTTTCTCTAACCAACTTACTTCGCTTAGCTAAGTACACTCCAGTTCTGTCTGTGTGGTTATAAATGGCAAGATTTCATTCTTCTTGACAACTTAGTAATATTCCTGTGTCTGTGTGTGTGTGTGTGTGTGTGTGTGTGTGTGTGTACGTACCACATCTTCTATTTTTTTTAATTTTTTATTTATTTATTTGACAGAGATCACAAGTATGCAGAGAGGCCGACAGAGAGAGAGGGGGGGAAGCAGGTTCCCTGCTGAGCAGAGAGCCCGATGGGGGGCTCGATCCCAGGACCCTGAGATCATGACCTGAGCCAAAGGCAGAGGCTTTAACCCACTGAGCCACCCAGGCGCTCCGTACCACATCTTCTTTATCCATTCATCTGTCGATGGCCCTCTGGGCTCTTTCCATAGTTTGGCTATGGTGGACATTGCTGCTATAAACATTGGGGTGCACATGTTCTTTCGACTCACTGTTTTTGTATCTTTGGGTAAATACTCAGTAGTGCGATTGCTGGGTCATAGGGTAGCTCTATTTTTAACTTTTTGAGGAACCTCCATGCTGTTTTCCAGAGTGGCTGCACAGGCTTGCATTCCCACCAACAGTGTAGGAGGGTTCCCCTTTCTCTGCATCCTCGCCGACATGTATTGTTTCCTCAGTGGTTAATTTAGTTATTCTGACCCGTGTGAGGTGGTATCTCATTGTGGTTTTGGTTTATAAGGAAATTATTTATTAATTTTGTTAAAATTAATAAATAATTTATTATTTCTCCTAGGTATTATCATATTTAATTTTCTGAAACGTCTTTGTGATGTGTCTGTGGATTTGTTAAATCTCTCTGTCAGTTGGGTTTTGCTGTGAGATAAACCACTCGAACACTTAATGGATTAAAACAACAAGCATTTACTTTGCTTATAATCTGTTGGTGGGCTGGGCCCAGCTGGGTGGTTCTCTGTCCTGCGTGGTCTGGATCCCACACATACCTCCCACTTCCGCCTGCCGTTCACTGCAGGTCGGGCAGGCGCCGCTGCCGGTGGCGGTGCGTGGGCTGGGTGTTTCGCTAACCAGCAGGTTAACCTGGTCTTGTTCGTGTGGCCACAGCAGGGTCCAAGAGAAAAAGACACACACAGGACCTCTTGAGGTCTCAGTTCACAGCAGCACTTCACTTCTACCAAATTCTGTTAATAAAAACAAGGCCAGATCAGAGGGTTGCAGAGTCACACTGCAGGGGCATATATGCAGAAGGAGAAAGAACTGTGGTTTTTCATTTTGTCTTATTTTTGTTTGTAAATCCTCTACTGCATCGTTCTGATGGTGCTTCGCCGCATTTGTCGAATGGAGGTATTCGACTCTCTCATGGTCTGGGAGGTTTCGGCCGTCTGTTTGCAAATGTAGCCTGTGCCCCATTCCGTTCCCTTCTCTAGGATTCCAGTAAAGCCCCCGTTAGGCCTCTTACTGTGACCTCCGTGTCTCTAACCCTGTCTTCTGTGCTTAGCTTTGGACGGCTTTATTCCGGATAGACTTTTCTGTCCTGCCTCCTGGTTTATCAGTTTTTCAGATGTGTTTAATCTACTGTTACGAACTTCACTGAGTGAGCTTGGATATAGTATTTTTTAGTTCTATAGTTTTTGGTGGTTCTTTTTTCTTTTCTTTCTTTCTTTTTTAAATATGGTTTTTAAACTTTCTATTTTAAATACGCTGCACGCCTGACGTGGGGCTTGAACTCATGACCCTGAGATGGAAAGTC